AAGTCATCTTTCACATAACAAACAATGCAAAATCGCTAACAGTATACAATTGTACAAACATACATTTAATATTTATAGTATCGTTAATTAAACTTCACAGGCAGATTAAAACTATAGTCCTAAAAGAGATAAGCATTTGATTAATAGTTGTTCTTGATCAATAGATAACTTATATGAATATTAATTTAGAAGAACAAACAGTTAATGATGTCACAAACTGTTTGTGAGTACCAATTGAATAATGACCTGTATGATTTATACGGTAACATCTGTGGTAGATAGACGAGCGTCAATCATGTCATTTAATCTGGGAGAATCTTTGGGGACCGTAATCTGCTGTAATGGAATAGTATCCCTTTTATGTTTCAACTGTAGGCAGTGGCGCAACTATACCGTTTGAGACCCGTGGCAAATAGGATATTCTATTTTTTTTACTGATTCATCATAATCGTCATCATTATCAGCCCTTTTTAGGTCCGCACTGTAGGGGCTCAGGCCTTTCTTATGGAGGGTTAAGAAGGATGGTTTTTTTCCTTAAGAAGGATGGTTGGACTAGTTTTTTTCCTAATTGTGTAATAATAAATCTCAGAAGTAAGGAGTTTCCTTTTACTGGGGGGCCCTTTCAGCTGAAGGCCCGTGGCATTATGCCAACTTGCCATCCTGTAGTTACACCCCTGACTGTAGGGGCTCAGGCCTTTCTTATGGATGGTTAAGGAGGGCAGATCATGACCCTTCTCGCTGGCCCAATGCAGATTGAAAGGTATTAAGGACTGTAAGAGCAGCCGAGAGCAACGGCTTAACGTGCCTTCCGAAGCACGAAGTAGCTAAAGATAATAAATTTTTGGGCATCTAACCCGCTTATCCACCACGTGACCGAGCTACTCCTACCTCTTTGCTTCAATTCTGAATACTCAAACTTTCTCATGTTTATTCTAAAATGTTTATTCATTATGCCTTATGAATTCGAAAATTATTCCATTACAAATGTCATTGATATTTTGACGTTTGTATTTTTAGTGCAGATTAGATACGTGACTTCTTAGTGTACTTTTTTATTTACAACTAATGACAACTAAAAGAAAACTATATTTTTTACATACATACTACATTTATATATACAATTCTGCTTCTTTACTCTTAAAATGAATATAATTTCACCTCACACAACATTTGCTACTAAAAGAAGCCGATCCGTTTTATTTATTATGAAAACTTAAAATAACAGATATTTTAACCTTTTTTTACTTACAATTTTACAATAATTGTGTTTTGATTTTCATTGACACTCTTTTCTAATAAGCTTAAATAATATAATACAAACTGAAATGTGTTGTATTACACGTAAAATTCCTCAGTTCAAATGCTCACATTCACCACACACACGACTGTACCAATCCTAATAAACGTCAATCAACAAATAGAACAGTTATAGAGCGAAATTACCTCTCGTAAAGTATAGAGGCCTGTTTCGAGCAGTGCGACTGTCATTGCCTCTCTCTTCAATTTACCATCCGTAAGTCTAAACCACAAGTTACAGTATAAATGCGTGCACCCGCAGGGGACAACGTTGCGTCGCAGAATATAAGTTTGTTCAGTAGGACATGTCTGTATATTACACACTTAAAGTATAGTATACAGACCTGTCAGGGAAAAATATTAATCACACTTAAGGGAAGTATTAAACCTCATATAAGAAAATATTTAAATAATTAACTACTTCAAATTTCCGGGATCAATTGGAACCATTAACATTTTCCTCGCTGAACGATTTCTCTACCAAATAAACTACCAGAACATTTATTGAGATCGTTTTCTCAATTTTTTACCTAAGTTTGAAAACTTTACACAAAATTATTTAAAAGTCAATCGCTCGGTCGTTATACCATCTGCGATTGTTCTTCGCATGCAATAATAATATTACCTACCATTACTTGCAGAAGGCTGTCGGGGTAGCAAAGTCCTCGAGTGGTGATCACGGACCGTAAAATAAAGCGTAGCCAGCCCTCTTTCAAGGATGCACCGACTATTGCCTGGTTAGAAATGGCGGGGAGAATTTGATCGTCCTAGAGATTTTCGGGGGAGGTATTATTTTATCCAGTCGTGGATGTTTTCCAGTTGATATGATTATATCTCCCATACTCCTCAAGCAGGCCTGCTTCGTTCATTATCGACTATCGAAAATGATCCTCGAATGCCGGTCGATGCCCGAATGCGTTATCGGACAATAAAAATGCAACCTTCTGACTTTCTCTACTCTGCAACATTGCATCTGCTACCGCGCACCCGTGATTACGTATTGGCGTTAGAGCTGCGGGCGTGCGTATGGACTGGATTAATATGTTGAAATATGACATTATTACATGGTACACGGACAATGTAAAATGTATTTTGTTCTATTAAATAATTAGATTTTGAATACCGAAATAAGAATACAAATAAAAAATGGAAACAAAGGTAAGTTTAAAATAAAAAATTGTATTTAAATGTTAACGAAATATATGTTAATAAGTTTAATAATAAAAAGATGGCAACTTTGCTGACGAAAAAGTGTGTATAAGGGTTCATTCAGTCTGCTCTAAGTTCATAGAGAGTCATAAATTGAAAAATGTTCAAAAACACTTAACGGGCTCAAGATATTGAAAGTCAGAACACTATCAAATGATTATGACGAAGTTTTTAAATGTAAATGTTTGCAAAATTGTTATGAAACTGGATTGGCTGATATGGAATGGATGCACGGTTTTCGTAAAAATAGCTTAAGAAAGTAGTCGTTTAGTTCATTACATCGTTGATAAGTTTAAGATCAATGAAAACTATTTAATTAATTATTTTGCTGTTTTACTTAATATATGTGAAACTACCACGCTGTCTGAATGTTCCCCTGCCCATGTACGATTGTACCCCGTAATAGGAGTAGATTAGAACATTCATTAGCTTCTAGTAAAATTCAATCCATTCATTTATTTTACAAGATATCGACTTTGAACTTTTTAATTAAGGAGCAGAAAGTATGCTTTATGTTTAAATAAGTGATTAAGTTACACCTTTTATTATCAATTAAAAAAAAACAAAGACTAAAAAGTGTACGTATGATCCCAATCTTCCTCTACGTTGTACTATGTATGATGTCTGATTAATTTATCGACTCGTGCACCGGCGCCTAACCACTAGGTAGGAGACACGGTAATGTGTATTGCCACTATAAATATTATGAGCCATCTAAATAAGCTGTTTGTGGAGAATGTTTGTTTTGAAAGAAATACATAGGGACTAAAGATACCATCGATGCGACTGCAGAAAGATCATTGCGTGTCCAAAAAAATATTACGTCGAGTTGTGTAAGGCTTATTTTCAGGTTGCAGTAGGTAGTCGAAAGCTCGTTTCTTCTTTTGTAATTATATATTTAAAAGAAAGCCGTTGCTAGTACTATTTAGGCATAGAGGGGATTATTATTACAAGTTTTGATATGTAGAGGAGATATAAAAAATAAAACAAAAAATTTACTTGGAAAGCTTGTAGTGCTAATGAAATAGAAGACGAAGGAATAAATCTTATTTTTTACGCGCTACAAGCTCAAGTCAATTACTGTGTTTTAAATGTTTAGAATTTATTTATTTACGCGCACAAATTAAAGCTTGTTTTTAAAAACTTACCAAAGTCCTCATAAAGATGAATCTAACAAGCTCAAACTTGGCCCAAACACGATGCAATTGCTTCATTTCATCATTCAGTTCCTATGACCATCTATCGACTTGATCGTCATATCAGCTTACTGACACCATAATATTGCATTGTCTGTATGTCATAATATTGCAATCTGACTTACACGTCTATGCAAAATTTCAAATCTATCGGACATTGGGTAGTGGGTCAAATTTTAGTTTCAAGATTTGCACACTAATATACTAACAATTGCCTTGTTATAAACGCTTGTAAATAAAAATATATCAATTAATCACATTTAGATATCAACAGATTAAAAAAAAAACATTAACTCCAGAGCTAAGTGCAAACGGAAAATAGTTAAATTATCAAGAGAAAACCAAAATATTTTTTAATTGTTTCTTACTGTCTTATTGTTAGACTACTAAAAAAAATAAAAGCCGAAAATTTCACAGAAAATAAGGTAAAAACCAAAAAAATAAAGTAGCGCCACCTTTGAGTCATTCCAAAAACTGATCAAACACCGCTGAGCTTTTATTTAGTACGGAGATATGCTTCTGTAGCGCTCTTTTAACGATGCTACAACAGATCTCGCTCGCAACATACTGATTTTACAAAGCACCTCTAGATGGGGCTTATTTATTTTCTTGTATTCCCAACATCAACAAAAAAATTATGTTATTTTATGTTCATAAAAAAAAAACAATTATGTTAATATTGTAATATATTAAGAAAATATAATTTGTAGCGTATGGATAAAATAATAATTTAAATATTACTAAAAACGATTTATTTTGATAAATTGTTACTTTTGATTATAAAATCCAAGTTCACGGTTCTATGTCTAGAAAATAGAATAGTGTTCATTTGAATCCTTATCTTTGCGTTGATTCTAAATTAATGTGTTATAATTGTTGTCTAATTTTTGTTATTATTAATTACAGACAATACATTTTTAAGTAAGAGTTGAAGCTATTTATTATATTTGAAAAATAATACAAATTTCAAAATACTTCTATGTAATGATGGTCGTTTTATAGAAATTTACCTACATAAATATTTAACTGTTTGTAGGCTAGCTTGGAGAACAGAACACAGTAAACACAATTTATGAGTTCGAATCCCATCTTAGGCGTTTACATTCAGGCTATTTTTAGATCCAAGACGTAAAGATCACATCACAAGTTCAATGTCTTCACTTCATTCATTGCAAGTTTGCCACTCTGGCACAGGTCTCTCGTATAACGTAGAATTACCGTTAACATCGACCCACTAACGATCCCGCTCATATTTCTCGTACAGTGTTGATTTCAACTTTGCAGTGAATTGACGTCAACATGCTGTTCGAAAGCTTCATGTTGAATCTCTTCGTGATCATTGTTTTAATCGTTGCTCTAACTTTCGACTACATCACCAAGTTCTTCAGCTACTGGTATGTCAGACTCATACCAAATAACACGCCTATACCATTCTTTGGTACGGATTACTACAGAGTTCTAGGACTCCGAAGTAATACGGAGGAAGTAAACTCGCTTTACGCTCAATATCCAAAGGATCAGTTCGTCGGAAGTATCAAGAGCAGAATCCCAGATCTCGTATTAAAAGACCCGGATGCGATAAAGACCATTTTGTCGACGGACTTCGCGGATTTCCACAGTAGAGGACTCGCACTAAACAAATCTCGGGATGTTTGTATACAAAACAATTTGTTTTACGCCGAAGGAGAAAAGTGGACCTTATTGCGCGATAACTTACAGTCTATATTGAATGAATTGAAACCAGATTTTGAGGAAAATTTGCATAACTGTTTGTCGGGAACAAATGGAGATGTAAACGTACAACAGTTATTATCAAAGGTATTGGATGGAGTTTTCAAGGATATATTGATAAATCAAAGTTCGAACGGAATCGTGGTAACTAACATGAGAACAGCTGTATTGAGGCGAAATTTTATGAATAAACTAAAGACTTATTTGAAGAATATTTTCCCATCATTGTATACATTATTTGGAATGACGACGATAGCTGGTGAGCCATCCACTGAAACAAAGAGAGAGTTAGAAAATTCTAAATTATTAAACATAATAAGACAAGCAAATATCTTCCAATTGACACTAAAAGATAAGTACAAGAAGCCTTCAAGCGACGTTGATTACGCTTTCGCCTTATTAGCCACTTTTATAACGGAAGGCTATGTACCATGTTTAAATCTGTTGACTGCACTATTATATGAACTGGCAAGAAACCCAGAAACGCAGATAAAGGCAAGGTCAAGTGAGGAGTATCTAAATGCTGTGATCAAAGAGTCGTTGAGATTGCACCCTCCTTACTCTGTTTTAACGAGGCAATGTGTGAAAATGTATCACTACCCTGATAGAAAATTAGTTATTGATAAGAATGTCACTGTAAATGTGCCTGTTGAATCTATTCATCGCGACGAGAAGTACTATAACGATGCTAAGACGTATAATCCTGAAAGATTCTTAGCTGAAGAGCATTCATCGCATAGTTTTGCATATTTACCTTTTGGTGCTGGTCCAAGAAAATGTCTGGGTAAGTTGTTTCTCAACATTATTTATTTACTGAACTAACTTCTTTATATGTTTAAATGAAAGAGGATAATAAATTTTAATATTTAGTTCTCCTAAAATAAATCAACTGTAATGTTTTGTTCGATTATGAAATTATATATATTTTTAGATATCATTATTGTTTAGAGAAGAAATATTACAAAATATAGTTTATAGATAAATATTTTATTCCACAGAGTGTTACTTTAAACTGACAAATACTTATATTGCGAGTAATGAAACAGCAACAGTAAATTAGAGAACAGGTTCCGTTCTTATAACAAAATCTTTCTGTCGAAAGCTTTCCAACGGTTATTGCCTATAAACCTATATTTTGTTACTTTAAGTCTCTAACGAACAGCTCCACAATTTTATAACGGTTGACCTCAAATTATAATATAATAACATATTAGAAAGCTTTTCTAATATTTGATAAATAGTTATATGGTAATCCGGTTATGTTACCATTTAAGGAGTTATAGATCGCTATGTATTTTATTGAAATCTGCAAAGTTTTTTTGCAAATTCAATAAGTCTATATGGTTAGAAATTCTAAATCTGTTATTTATATACACTTGTAGAAAGGTAATTATTGCGTAATACGTTTATTTCGGATATGTCTTCAAAAAGCTGTAACCTGTTGTAACCACACATGTTGTACATTAATTAGTTTTATTTTTCGCTAACTATCTTTGGTAATCATTTAAGAATATTATACTTTATTTCAGGTGAACAATTATCAATGTTAATATGTCGAAGCGTCGCCAAAGCAGTACTTAAAAATAATGTTATAGAACCTACAAGTATTACACCTTCAGAACTAAAAATGGCGGACCACAACTTCAGCAGAGTTGTAAATGAAGAAATTTGGTTAAGATTCATACCTACAAGTTCGAATTAAGCGCTGAATTGGCATTAAAGTGACTTGACGTCGCCATTTCTGAAGTTCAGGGTTAGGATTCCTAGTCGAATCGAGTTAGTTTATAATTTTTTCTATATTAATTAATTTATTATTTTCAAATGGATTGTATTTTCAACTTGACGACCGCCGTAGGTTCAAGCGCCCCTTTAAGGTTTCGCCATCTCTGAGAGGTTCGATTCCCGCTCGGGTCAATATAAAAATTACGCCGTTGTTTCAGATTTCCATAATACAAGGATGTAGGTATTCAAACTAGATCCAACCCACCAGACAGTTTAGAGAAAAAATCGTTTTTGTAAAAATGATGTAAAGAAAAAAGGTGTTTCTGATTTTTAGTAAATTTTTGACAAATAGTATTATTATGATTATGAAGTTGAACTGACACGTAAATTTACATTAGTACAGTATTATATGCAGTACGCTGTATATATAAATATAGTGGTATACAAAAAAATACTGTGTCGATAACGATATTACTGCGATTGCAAAAATCAATAATGCAATCATGAACTTACATAGATGATATAAATATTTCTTTCATGCTGCATGGATCTTTCTTTTAAAATATGAATTATTTAAATATTAATATACGAGTTACCATGTTTTTTGTGTTTGCAAAATTGTTCTTTTTTCAGTCGATATCTTGTGGGCTAGTACATTAGCTATTTTTGTAGTTAAAAGTGCTTCACAGAACCTCGATTTTGACAAACCTCGATTTTGACAGATTTGTGGGTTGGATCCGAGTTGCGTAACTACATCCAAGTGATTGGCAATATAATGTATAATTGTGTAGTGTATGATGGATATTATTATTATTTTACAGTGTTAACGTATTTTAAATTAATTATTTAAGATGAATATTATCGGGAAATTTACTTAGTTATAATTTGATCTATTGTTACCTTAGTATAACTTACTCTGACTATAAATATTTTTTTTCTGTTTAAGTTAGTAAGATCTTTCTAATTGAGGTATAAAAATTTACATTAAATAAGATAATAAAGAATACTTATATCAATTTAATTAAATAACTAATCATAAAATATAAATTGAGTTGAGATCTTATTTATTTCTTTTCGTTCATTAACATTCTTAGCACAAAAAAAAACACCTACAAGATCCATTGACTTCTCAGAATTGGGTGGTTTCTGTTTTTTTTTTTGTGATATTACACAGTTTTTCTTTTGATAATTTTATGAAAATACAGTTATTTCTTCTCAATATTGATATTATATTCAGGAAAGAATGATTGTTTGTTTCTTTGCATTGGATAGACTGCGAAACTTCTGAACCGATGATCAAAATTGATTCACCACTATAAAGTTACATCAGACGTGGGTGCCATAGGCTATTATTAACGTGGTGAAGTCACGGAAAACAAGTAGTTTCAAAATAAAATGATTGTAATTTCGCGCTAATTTAGGTACATGTAATTAAGTAGATAAGCAGTAAGTAGATTATTAACTTAATTTTAAGTGATTAAAATAAGTATCAAGTAAAATAAGTGGTTCACTAAATTTTAACTAATTACTTATTGTAGTGTTTACACGTACGTAAACACTTATAATTACGTTAAAAATCTACGTACTACTTAATTATGTGTAAACGAGCTATTAAGGCCTCCTGGGGAAATCAATACGCGTGACAATGACGCGGGGTTTGGTAAAAAAAATCGAGGGTAGAGGTAGTAGAGGAAATATTTTTCATACCCTGTGCCTGATAATGTAGTCTGTCATGAGCGAGCCCCTGACTAGGGTAACCAACTTAAAAAAAAACATTTTTCTTACCAATGAGGAAGTATTTAAAAAAAAACATTAGTATCCGAAATCAAACTAGATGTCACTACAGTACTTTCTTGATTTCTCTATGACAACCATTCCGGTTTTCTTTCGTGTATAAAAGTAAATTAGTTTTTAAAACTCAATAAACATCTCCTATTCTATTTGTACTATTTCGTATTTGTATTGATATGTAAGTTTCATTGTAAATTTCAGTTTTTTAATATGTTAGTTAAAACGAACGAAAATAACTACCTTTGGTCCAATCGTCTCCTATAAAAATTAACTTTTGCTAGAGTTGCCATCTAGTGGAGGTGCTTTTTAGTGCTTTCTTTTTTTTCTGAAATACTTCCTCATTATTATACTATTTGAGCCCAATGGCGCAGTGGTTATCGCGCCATGTCTGAGGTACGGTTATTAAGCAACTTTCACAAGGGCTAGTCAATGAAGACACGTTAAGCCGTCGGTACCGTATGCATCTGAGCGCTTAGTGTAAGTTTTTTGACGTTTACGTTCACTGTCGACCGTGAGCGGATTAAGATTTTAGTATGGAATCCGGTACAGCGCCCCTAGCGGTAACTACCAAGAACTAAAAATCTACATACAAATTCTCCATGCAATGAAAAAAAAAATACTCTGTTGTCGTTAACATTCACCGCGTGAATTCATCCACGTAGGTTCATTAAGTCGTGACCATTTCTCCCTATTCGATTTGTTTCTATTCCATCCATAGGGAAGACCTGAGCACCACCAGCAGTAGTGACATCTGTAGGCTGCTGATGATGAAGATGTTTACGATTTTAACTTTAATCTTGTACATTTAGATACAATTGAATGAATGAATGAATATTTATTGAACACATACACCATTTGACAAATTAAAAAGACATAATAATAACTAAGACATAATACTAATTAAAAAAAAAGCTATAATAATATGAAAATCTTTAAATTTACCCAAATTCACAATATTGTATCATAGTCGGTGCAGTGCCCAAAAGGTCCCGGCTCGATATAGTGCTGCAGCAGACTACAGCGTCGATTTTCAGCCGGCACCCGAGGTGTGCCAATGCTCGCTAGCATTGCTATAATATTCCGCGAACGGACTCGCAACCATGCGGTCGCGTAGCGCTCGCAACTATAATATTGTGTTATGGTACTTAATTTAAATTCAAAAAATAGGATACTATGGATTCAATAAATTTACAGGTCCCAAATTCCAGGTAAGTGGCATTCCATATCACCTCTCCTTATGATATGCATCATGAAACACACAATCACCTGAGTGCACTTTGGTGTCTGATAGACGTAGAAGACAGTTTCTATGTTAATTCAGCGCTAACACTGTTGATTATACAAAAATAATGTTTTCAGTTTAGTCCTAAAGCTGTGCAGAGAAGCCAGACCACGTAAAGGTGGCAAAAGGAAGATTGTTCCAGCATTTAGTTGCGCTGTATCTGAAGCTACCCCTAAATGATGCGTTTTGTGAGATGGAATCTTCAGCACATGAGACACCGAGCGTATTCCATACCTATCCTGTGCAGTTCTCCAACGCAATTTAGAATATAAATAATCAGGCGTCATCCTATTTATAACACCAAATAGTAAGGTGGCCAGATGTAATTCACGCCGGTGGTGCATTTTTGATATATTTTTCTTAATTAGGTACGGTGTCACATGATTAAGAGGTGGAATATTAAAACAAAATCGTGCACAAGTATTTTGCACCCTTCGTATAAGGTTAACTGTTTTGGAATACAACCTAGGGCCATAAACAACATCCACATAATTAAATTTAGAAAGGATCAGTGCGTTAGTCAGTTTTATACGTAATTCCTTGCTAAGAAAATTTCTAATTTTATATAATTTTTTTAATCGATAGAAACAATTACGAACTATGTCACTCACATGTATCTCATACCTTAGTTCTTCGTCCATTACAAGGCCGAGATTTCGCGCCTCCGAAATACGTTCTACTACATTGTCATCCAACACTATTTGCACATTTTGCAAGCCGATCCTACGAATCTGCCAATTGTAATAAAATGTAAATCCTGTTAGGTCTCTGGTAGCTCGGTGGTTAGAGCTCGCATTTCAAAAGGTCATAGGTTCGAGTCCCATCTCAGAGTGCCAGAGACAAAGTGGGTTTTTTAAGCATTCTTCATTAAGGATTTTTTAAGCATTTTTCACAAAGAATATTTTTGAGTATAGCATTGTGAATGCAAAATTGATCAAATATAATAAAATGTAAATGATTTTGATACGATACAACATTTAATTTTATTTGAAATAAAAATTAGTTTATGCAATGTTTTATCACATAAGCTTTAGGGATAGACGTTTGATTATAATGTTGAAAAAAGAGCAGGCGTAAAGCTTATACTTTCTATTTTTCATTACGAGGACCATTTTGTATAATGTGCTAATTCTACCTCTAAAAATCTCCTACCTAATTTTATGATAATTACTTAATACGATATTTCGTCTTGTGTAGAAACACATGAAAAGAAATGTTATACACCTCAAAGATTATTATATTCGATCAAGTTTGCATCCAAAATGCTATACTAGATTATATTAAAAGCCTAAATTGCTTTAATTGACTTCTTTTCAAATCACGTGTTAAAATACACCCAACGTGACAATTTGAGCTTTTCGACCTTCATCTCAACTGCAGTTGTTTGCATACCAAATAACCGCATCACTTGCTTAGCTGAGCGGCTTAAAGCATAGATATAAATTTATATCCCGGATTGTCCGCTAATCCAAAAATTTATGGTGTACGTAAGCAGATTCGTCCTGATTTATAACACCCTTAGAGCCTGCAGCGCGGTCCTACATCAGTATCAGTATGTACTGTATAATCCAGCCAAATGATAGGAAAAGTAAAGAGTTTTATTTTTTACTTTAACCTTTTTTCAACCAACTTCTGGTGCTAAAAATGGTTAAAAACAAATGAATGTTGCCATTGTTTATAAGACGCTATTTGTTAGAGGGAAATAATACATGACTAAGAGTCAGTTGCACAAACGTCCATTAATACTGTCATTAGTTTAAAGCGTCATCACCGGTACAAATTTGACATTCATTAGAGGATAAAGACGTCATTTAACTTTATTGGACGTTTGTGAAAACTGACCGTCAAAATGAAAAAGCTATCGTAAAAGCTTAACTCTCATTTTCATATGTGTACAATACATCTTT